TCAAAGCGCTTTACAGCACAATCTGTTACCTCGTTTACCTCCACAAACACATTCATGCAGCACTCTATTATAACTCAACAAAGACTAATCAGAGCTTTATCACATTCATACACCGATGGGACACACATCAGAGGCAACGAGGGGTTCAGTGTCTTGCCCAGGGACACTTCAACATGTGACTGCTGGTGGAATCGAACTCCCAACTCTCCCACTGGAGGACGACCGCTCTAACCACTCAGCCACAGCCGCCCCCAGTGCCGGCCTTCACTGGCGTTAGCTAAAAGAAAAAGGACCAAATGTGAACGAGGAAGAATGGAGTTTCGCAAGACAGCAAAGTGAGCTACACGTCATGATAGTTCCTCTATTTTGTTCTGCTTACAGTTTTCTCATTAATTCATAGTAGTGAAACTGACATTTGCCTTTCTATTGTGTGCATATGCATTCAAAGGTTTCAGCCAATTTTCCCCTCGCACTAAATTAACAATTTCAAACTGCATGTTTGACCTGCTACAAAATGTTTGTTAGGCACACATCTTGATAAAAATTAAACATTTTTTAACATGACAATGGCAATGTTGTTTTATGACAAATGTCTTTATTTGCTGCTTATTTTAGGCTATTGTTCTTTTCAAGTAATGACTGTGTTTTTTTTTAAGTGAAAAAACAATATACCTAAAAACACTAAGACTTGAGGAAGGGCGAAGCAGTGTCTAATCAAAGCTGCTGCCTAACATAATCTTTGACCTATCTAAACTACGTCTGTTCAAATCTCAAAATATTAAGAAACAAACTTTTGTAGAAAAATGCACAAGATGTCATAGACAACAAAAATCCTAAACACACGAATATTAAGTCAAATTCATCCAGACTAAAGATACTAGCCCCAGATATATTTGACTTTAAACTTACTTTGTGATTTTAAGTATTTTAAGGAAGTTATTGTGTTACTTTAATGGCTAACAGTGTTTGCTAAATGATTTGGTACAACATGTAAGATAGGGAACTATTTCCTGTTTACGCTTTAAATCTTTATTGTTCTGACAAATGATGAGGCTCCACTGCTTAAATTTCCTCTCAGTTATTGTCTCTATAAAGATCAGAGAAACCAAAAGAGTTTATATGGAAAAAAACAAAACTTATTTTATAACGCAACATAGTTATCTGTAATATTTAGCATAAAAACAACATAAAGTTCTCAACTATAGGTTCTGAAAAGCAGTGAAAACTAATTTTTTTTACATAGTTGCTAAATTTTACAACACTACATTCTTCACGAACTGTTCTTCTGCATAAATAATACATATTTATGTCAGCATATGAGCGATCATAATCAAGTATAAGCCAAACTATGAAAAATCATTTAGCAGTCCAAATGACAGCACCGCTGGATCTGAATCTGACGGGTCACATAATTCAGTAGTACACCTGTGGTTAATAAAACTGGAGTACTTGAAACTGAATGGGCTAGCTGAATGACGACAGATTCAAGCGGTTGGTGGTAGCTAGCTGTACTTTGTCACCAACGAGCTCCCAGGGCAGCTCTGATGAACAAAAATAGGCAACATTGTCACGTAAAGCACGGCTTATATTCGAAGAGCCTTGCTGGCGGTGGTAAAGCTGTTTAGCCACTCATGGTATCATGTAGAACTAGCTAGTAGCTTCTGTTAGCATGCTAACTTGACGTTAGGCACCAGAGCCCGTCTCTGCCTCCACACTGTCCGCTGTTGATAGCACACCGCGCCCCTCCGGCTTCCTCCTGTCTCGCCGCTCGGCTCTTCTACCAACCTCACTCCCACCCCCCTCCCCCCCGGTGTGTGAGACGCATCGTGTACTCAGTCAGTCACACTTACATATTTTACCCCGCAGACTCTGTAAAATCCGAATCCTAGCGTCGTCCTCTTCCGCCATGGTCAGGGCTGAGTGCTGCTCCGGTGCATTCAGCGTCGTTTTATCATCATATCCGTTTATGAATGTAGGCAGAGTGGAGGAAAGCCAGCCCCACCGCCGCGTCACGTCAGGTCTCGTAAAACTGTTGCTTTAAAACATTAGGCGAAACGCAACGCTTCCTCCGGAGTCCTCTCGGCTGCTGTCGCTGCAGTGTGGCTGCCAGGAGTTGTACAAGAAAACGTTCAGGGTGTCCGTGCGTGTTGTGTGTATTATGCAATAATGTCGGAGAACGCAGAGTTGTAGAGCTAGCTCTGCTGGCTAACGTCGGATACCAGCGCTCAAGTGAAGTGTGTCGGCTGAAGACGACGCGCTCATGTGCGCGTGAACGTGTCACCAGTTGTGAATGAGCCGAGACCGAGAACCGTCCGTGAACGCATCATTGAGCGGTACGGAGAGAGAGGGACATCCACAACAAAAGGTGACTAAAAAGATACATTTGAAGCCTACAAGTTTAAAGTGTCCCGGAGAGAGTGACTTAAAATCTCCAGTCTGTTGGTAAAATGACCGGCACGTAATAAAAAACAACAAATGACAAACAAAAAAATTATTATATCTGGAGAGAAGACAAAGAAAACAAACAAGTGCTGGCTAAATTAGCTAAACTTTAGGTCAAAGCTAAGTACAGTACTGCAAAAATGTAGTTATCAGCACAATCTTAGCCAAAAGCTAAAACTGGCATAACAGTAACTTAAAGGTAAAATTTGCTGAACTACTTAAAATCAGCAAAATTGTTGCGAAAAGCTAAATGTATCAAAACTAAAAAGAAAACTAGCAAAACCGTAACTGAAACGTAAATGTAGGAAAATAGTTGCTAAAAGCTAAATGTAACTAACTTGTGGTTAAATACTAAAATGAGCAAAACTTGCTAAAAGCTAAAATTATTAAAAACATAGCTAAAACTGAAATTAGCAAATCTGCAATTGTAAGAAAACAAATATGTTGCCTAAAGCTGAAATTAGTAAAACAGAAGCTAAAAGATAAAATTGCCATAACAGCAGATAAATTAAAAAAATGATCACACTAGTTACAATTAACTAAATGGAGGTAAAAACCAAAATTAGCTAAATCATAACTAAATGCTGAAATTAGCAAATTGCTAAAGGATAAAGGCATAACAATTATGAAAAGCTAAAATTAGCTAAACTAGCTCAAATGACCAAAATTGTTGCTAAAACTGGGCAAGTAGCTAAAAGCTAAATGTAGCTAAACTTTAGCTGAACACGAAAAAAGCAAAACTGTGCCTAAAGGCTAAATGTTGCAAGATATTTACTAAAAGCTAAAATTAGGAAAACACCTCGAAGCCAAATGTAGCAAAACAGCTACATACTAAAACAAGTAAAACTGCCATTTATTGGTAAAACTGACTAAATCCTAGTTAAAAGCTAAAAACAATTATGTTGTAGCCAAAACCTAAAACTTGGAAAACCATAGCTAAAAACTAAAATAAAATAAACTATTTTAAAAGCTTAAATAAGCAAAACTAATGCCAAAAGCTGAACTTACTAAATTTGTAGCTAAAATGTAAAACTGCTGTAACAGCAGTTGAAAGGAAAGAAATAGCAAACTAGGGGTGTAAAAAAAATGGAGAAAAACTAAAGTTTGTTTTGCTAACAGTTATAACAGGCACAACAGTAGCTAAAAGCTACAATAACCATAACTATTTAAAATGAGCCACTTTGTTGCTAAAATCTTAATGTAGTAAAACTAGACAAAGGCATGTGAACATAACTAAAATCTGAATGTAGGAAAATAGTTGCTAAAACCTAAATGTAGCAAATCCATAGCTAAAAGCTGCAATTGGGACACCAGCTAAAAGCTCATTTTAGCCAAACTAGCTAAATACTTCATCTAGCAAAACTGTAGCTAAAAGCTAAAATTAGCTAACTCATCTAAAAACTAAATAGTAGCCAAAAAGACATACAATTAGAGCAAGTATGCTGAAATAGATTTCAGAGGACAATGTTTTTGAAGGAACTGAAAAGAGCTCTGTGTTGGGAATTTTTGTTTAAATAATGTTAAACAATTCAAAAGGCATGAAGGTTAAAATAATAAATGTCATCATAGCACATTATTTGTAATTGAGCCAAATGTTTCAATAAATGAATGGTTTGTTATAGAGATGGGATATGTGGCTGGTTCACACCAGCCCTGTTTAGTCCACTTTAATCGAACTCTAGCTCGTTTTCCTTGAAAGTTCGGTTCGTTTAGGGAGGCGTGAACACGCCATCGAACTCTGTCATGGAACAAAAAGGTGAACTCTGGCCCGGGCTAAAACCTAGGTCTCGGTCCGGTAGAAGAGAACTCCAGCGCGGTTCGAGTGCAGTGTGAATGTAAACAGACCGGCCCGCTCCGCAGGGTAAACAAACACACATTGCTCTGACCTTATATGGAGCCGTCAGCTGTCTTGTGTGAAAAACAATATTCTCCATGGTCTTCTGTCTCATCTTGTGCTCATGCTAAGTCCATTTTGGAAAAATGACAAAATATAACTCCTAAAACTGCTAAAACTTGATGCCACTTCATTTTATTTTTATTTACAGAAGAAGAAGACGTGTCTTCAGAGGTTTTTGTGTCGTTTCTTTCAGTAGTTCTTGGTGCAGCGTCCCCACAGGCGAGCGGGGGAATAGGTTGGTTCAACAGGTTGACTCGACTGCACAGTGCAGTGTGAATGCAAACTCAACAGCTCAAATGTAAACAAAAGCTCATGAATATTGGTCCCATCTAGTGTGAAAACGACCTTATTGAAGGGAATCAGATCTTGACAATCCGTTCGCTTCATAGCGCTGTCCAACAGAGCCCGTCAATTATGAACGGCAGTGACATCATCACAAACATCGTATGCGAGGACGTATGTTGTCAGGGCCGTATCTCGTGTTTTGTCAAGCGGGAACCTCCCTCTTGAGCTGCTGCTCTTCTCCCCTTTACCTGTTCTCCTTTGTTTCAGTGAAAAAGTGAAGGAGGAGTGATTTTCTCTGTGGTTGAGGCGGAAAATGTGAAGAAATTATGAGGAAAAAATAAAACTAGTAATGGTTCTTTATTGTCTGCAACTCAGTTTTTATCGTTCATTTTAAAGAGTCGGTCAAATGATCCGGATCGTTCACGACCGTCACATCTCTAGTATGCAGAAATAATGGACTAACAGAAGAAACTATAAACAGGAAAACAATAGTGTGAATGCTGACTAGATTTTGGAAAGATGTGTCCCTTCAGTAAAAAAAAAAAAGTATGGATTTTCAATCTGCTTGTTCAGTCAAGTAAACATATGTACAAGTTTAAAAGCAGTTTCTATTAAACAACAAGCATAAAGATCAATGACTGGATTCAATGAAGTTTGAAAGTAAGACAGATTCTTATTCTAAAGGTCCAACAAGCTTCAGTAAAACCTCAAACTTCCCTTCCTTCAATGGCAGAAAACTAGACAATACATTACAGACTAATGTTAGCATATCTGTGTACCTTTAGAGTAGAACTAAAACTTTACAGTACTCTAAATTGAATGAGCTCTTAGACACTACTTACAAAAGTTACCCGAGGATACAAATTACGTAAAGTTTTACTTACAATTTCCAGTGTAATGTTGCTGACAGTAACAGGAGACATACAGTAAATGTCTCATGCAATGTTGGTTTTAATATCATTGATTCAATATTTTAACCATATGTTGCAAATTGTAGATGATCCCTAAATCCTTATTTCACAACTGGTGTTGTGTTTCCTTCTTATTCACTGTTTAGATCTACCCCTCAGCGCAACACCTGCTGCACATTGGCACCAATATAATGTAAGTCTGTGCATGCCATACACTAAACCAAGAGAACTCACTCTGGTTCATGAAAAACCTCCATAGCTCTAATAATATTAGGCTAATTTTAGATATTCTGGATTATTCTGAACTCATACAGGACAATAGTTTAATTTTATTTTTAGACTTTCACAAAGCGTTTGACACCTTAGAGCATGAATTCATGCTTACTACTCTGAAAAGATTTGGTTTGGGTGATTTTTTCTATAGATGTGTACAAACTCTGTATGCAGAAGGTAACAGCAGCATTAAACTTCCTTTTGGTACGTCTCCTAGGTTTAGTCTCCATAGAGGGATTCGACAAGGATGCCCTCTATCTGTATATCTAATTCTGTTAGCAGCCGAGTTTCTGAACGTTCATGTCAGAAACAGCCCCATACAAGGAATCAATATTGCAGATCGAAATATTTTCATTATCCAGTTGGCTGATGATACAGCTTTGTTTTTAAAAGACGTGTCACAGGTCTCTCTAACAATTAGTACTGTTGAAAGTTTCACTAAGGCCTCTGGCCTGTCTCTTAATCTTAATAAGTGTGAACTGTTGTCAGTGAATAATTGCACACACTCCTCTATTTGTTGCATCCCTGTCAAAGATTCTGTAACATACCTGGGTATCAGTATCACTAAGAATAGTAAAAACAGAAGTATTGCTAATTTCACTCCTGTCATTGAAAAGTCTAAAAAGGTTTTTAACAGTCGGCTACAAAGGGATCTGTCCCTGAGAGGTAGAGTCCTGCTCACTAAAGCAGAAGGATTGTCCCGTCTGGCCTATACTGCCCAGTCTCCCCAGTCTCAGTTTATGTTGATAAACCAGTTTGTAAATTTGACAACAGAATGATCTCCGACTTCTTATGGAAAAACTAAACACATTATTTGTGTAAATCTGTCGTTTTAAATAATGATAAGTCTGGTGGGCTACATTTTATTGACTGACTCCTGTAATAACACTTTTAAAATAAAATGGATCAAAAATGATCTTAAAAACCCAAAGTCTTTTCACATTTAGGCGGTTTAGAGTTTGTTCTCCTGTGTAATTACAGTGTTCCCAAAATTCCCACTAAGCTTTCCAACTTCCACCAACAGGTACTTTTAGCTTGGTCCTTTATCCATAAACATAATTTTTCTCCGCAGAGATGTTACATCTGGAACAACTCTAACATAATATCCGGAGCTTACTGCAGAGCAGAGCAGGTCTTATGGTGTTAACAACATGACTCTTACAGCGCTGCCTGCCCTGTCCAGGTGTCCAGGTAGGTGCCAGGTTATTAAACAAAGGGTGCTAAATAAAATACAAC